TGCGAGTGGGTAAAGTGCTGTTGTGGGGCATGTTATCTGTCGAGGGGTGAGCTATCAAGGGCCTCGTGGTAGCAGCAGAGAGGACCAGAACCAAGAGCAGGCTGAGCAATCTTTTCTCCTTTTCTGCGACCCACTTCTCTCACACTCAGGCTTCCAGGGAAAGAGCCGACTGCTCTTGACAGTTGCCCAAACTGCTTGCTTGCGTTTGGGCTTCAATCCATGCCCCTACTGCCTCATTAAATTAGGCCTGAGGCCACAGGTTATCTGTTCCTGCCCTATTAGGCCTAGGAACACAGGAAGATGCTTGCTTCCCAACCCATCCATCTCACTGCTGTCCGGACCAGTACGGTGGTCTAACCTGCAGCCCTCCCAGGTGTTGCTGACAAGCAACTGCCTCATTAATGAGCAACTGCCCCATTCAATTAGGCCTGAGGCCACAGGATATCTGCTCCTGCCCTATTAGGCCTAGGAACAGGGGAAGATGCTTGCTTCCCAACCCATCCATCTCACTGCTGTCCGGACCAGTACGGTGGTCTAACCTGCAGCCCTCCCAGGTGTTGCTGACAAGCAACCCTGGCCATTGGGCTATGCTGGCAGGGCCTGATGGGAGTAGTAGTTCAACAGCATTTGGAGAGCAGCAGGCTAGCAACCTCTGGACTAGACTAACAAGCGGCAGCTCTTTCCAGGGCTTCAGGTAGAGGCTCTACCTGGGCTCTACCTGGACCTTACCTGTAGCATTGAAAGCAGACGCTACAGCTCATGCTCCAAGCGATTACCTTGGAAACAGAATGCTTTGGTCCGATCGAGGAAGGTAATCGTTACATTTGCTAGCTCTTCCCTTACGAAAAATGGTTTGTTTTGTGGGAAATATTGTCAGCTCAGTAAGGTCTCCTTGACTGCCCTCCCTGGGTGACAGTTTATTCTGCTCCCCTGATTGCTGGCTGTTATGTGGTTCGTTCAGCTTTCGCTCCATCCTCAAGCTTTCCCTGCCAGCTATGCGTTTACTTCCTACCTGCCTCAAGGTATCCACGTCAATGTTTGTTTAATGGGCTGGCCCTGAAATCTGTTTGCAGGAGTAGACAGTGCGTGAGCGAAAGGGAAAGCGGAGGTCAGTGCCACATCAGCAGGTTCCCCCGGAGATCTTAGAAGGCTACTAGCAAGCGGCAGAATAAAAGCATTTGCAAGTGGGAGAGAGAGAGGGAGGGAGGAATGTCTGGAAAACTAATGCTGGAGATCTCTGAATAGGATTTCCTGCACTTAAAAAAAAATGTATACAACTTATAAGATGTTGAATTTAATCATTTAACACTCCTCTGATGGGTCTAGGTGCCAGCACTGGGGGATGAGTGTCTTCCCCCTATTATCAGTCTCCACCCTCCTAAGTTGCCATTTGCCTTTTGTCCCTAAAAAAGTACATTCTGGAGGGGGGGTGCATGAGACTGCCTTGGCCCCTAGGAATTGGCACCTATGTCCTGAGCTATATCTAGTTTGGCCTTAACCCTCTCCCAGGGAATCTAATGTGTCATTAGATTAAAATTGTGCTAAAGTGACAGGTTTATAGAAGACCTGTCAAGTCCCCACCATCACCCTCCCAGGTCACACTGGGCGATGGGTCCCTTTTCTCCCTGACTGCTGCGACCCCAGACAGCATCTTTGCTCCTGCTGGCTAGAAAACAAAACAGCTTTATAATGTCAAGACATGAGGCAAGTTGCACCCCACACTGTGGGAATGGAGGGGGAGAGCTTTACACTGGAGTCACGAGCATTTCTTTCCACCTTGAAAACCCACCTAGCTCTTTAGCAGAAATTCCCAGGAATTTTTAAGGTTCTGTTCCGTAATCGCGAGGGCTGACGGCTCATGGTTTACAGTGGTACCTCTGGATGCGAACGGGATCCGTTCCGGAGCCCCATTCGCATCCTGAAGCGAACGCAACCTGCATCCACGGGTTTGCTGCTTCTGCGCATGCGTGTGACGTCATTTTGAGCGTCTGCACATGCATGAGAGGCGAAACCTGGAAGTAACGCGCTCCGTTACTTCCGGGTCACCGCGGAGCACAACCCAAAAATGCTTAACCTGAAGTTACTTCAACCCAAGGTATGACTGTACTTTACATGCTGTAGATGGAAATGAAGGTTCCCGGGTTCTTCTCTGAAGGCCAACGGTTGCGTCTTTGTGCACCGAAGCATTCCAGGTTTAATACAGAACAACCCTACCTATTGACACACATCCCTGGCGTGTGTCATATAATGTTGCCGGAAGCTTAGGGAAGGGATTAATACCCCCCACAGCCCATGTAGAAAGGAGAGCTTCTGGGAGGACAGAAACTATGACTAGTCTAATGGCACACTAAGATGGATGCATTGCATCTATTTCTTGATGCAATGCATCCATCTTAGTATGCCATTAGACTAGCCATGGTTTCTCTGTGCCTGAATTCCTTGGGGCTGCCCTAACTTTCCTTGCAACGGATTCCAGTCCATGCCTCCGGGATAGATCACACAGCTCCATCAAATCATCATAGCAGTTATGAGCACGAGTCCAGAACTGGAAGGTTCCCAGTTCAAATCTCACCTCATTCTTGAAAACAGCTTCAACTATGCAAGCCATTGTTCCCTAAAGCTTCCTCCAAATGTGCTATGGCTTACCTTACAATAATGTTGCAAGAGCAGCTGAAATACTGTGAAAATCTTCATGCCCCGAGGAAAAGGACCATATAAATGCTAATGAGAGTGCATCTGAGGAACATTCTTTCCTTAGGAGAGCTAGGAACAATACATTTCAAGCCCAACCATTTTCTGGTGAGGTTTTGGCACTTATCCCAAGGTTTTCTAAAGACACTAATTATTCCTACCCAGCAGTGTAGTCAAGGTCCCCACAAGAATGAGCCTGGCTTCTTCCTACAAACCAGTCATGGGGTTTTGACAATAAACACGGAAAGAGGATCAGAGGCAAGGCACTGCACAAAAGGACACCAGACATTGTTGGTGCAATTGCGTCAGGGTTTTCAAGGCCGTGTCCGGTTCCCAGTTCTAACTTCTAACGCACAAAACACTCGCATGATCGTTCCTGTGGAACTACTGTAGCAGCATCCCCACATCTGAGTCCATTATCTGGAAGCAGTAGAGGCAGCAAATGAATGTCCATTTAGAAGGACAAATCTTCCTCCCAGCTCCCAGTACGTTTCCGAGCACAATTCAAAGTGTTGGTGTTGACCTTTAAAGCCCTAAATGGCCTCGGTCCAGTATACCTGAAGGAGCGCCTCCACCCCCATCGATCAGCTCAGACACTGAGGTCCAGCGATGAGGGCCTTCTGGCGGTTCCCTCGCTGCGAGAAGCCAAGTTACAGGGAACCAGACTGAGGGCCTTCTCTGTGGTGGCACCCGCCCTGTGGAACGCCCTCCCACCAGATGTCAAAGAGAAAAACAACTACCAGACTTTTAGAAGACATCTGAAGGCAGCCCTGTTTAGGGAAGCTTTTAATGTTTAACAGAACACTGTATTTTAATGTTTTGTCGGAAGCCACCCAGAGTGGCTGGGGAAACCCAGCCAGATGGGCGGGGTATAAAGAAATAAATTACTATTATTATTATTACTATTATTACTATTATTACTATTATTATTATTATTATTATTATTATTATTGTTATTATTCAGGTGGAAGTAAGGGAATGGGGGAGTTTCTCAAGCCCAGTGCTATAAGCAACCACTTTGGGGGGGGGGTGTTTGTTATGTTATGTATTTTGTGTTTTCATTTTGCATTTTTATGTTGTATACCACCCTGTGATTTTCAGATGAAGGGCAGTATATTAACAACAACAATTTCAAAAAATATTTTGCATACAAGCAAAGTGCTTAAACTTCAAAATCCGTTCAGCTGCTTTCTATTAAACACAGCTGTTTTCAGCTTCTATCCTCTTAATAAAAATTCTTGCTAAAACTAAAAATGAAAATCCACTCTGCTTGCCTGGCAAAGCAGGTGAGTCAGAAACACCTCCAGATAGCTAGGTGGGGAAGCTTTTGTAAACCAGAAGAGCCACGGTTCTCCTCCCTGCCATCATCACCACAATTGGCTAACACAGGGATGTGAGGGCAGGTAGGCTAGTAAAAGTTTATAGGCGCTTCTGACGACATCGTTGCAAGGGAGATCTTTTGTTTAGGAAGGGTTCCTGCAGGCACACACAGGTAACCCTATTTGCTCCATCCATCCTTGCTGTGAGGGAAGTATAAGAGCCGGCTCCATTACTGAGATGGGATAGGTGAGCAGGACCTTCATCCAGCGCCCAGTGCCTACAAGCGCACTGGCTCCCACCAGCCCTGCCCCACAGTCTGCCCCATGGCCTGAGGACCCCAGCAGGAGCAGCGTTGGGCTGAGAAGGCTTAGCAATGGGCGTTGTGTGTATTCTATGCGTATTTTAACAAACTGAACAGAGTAAAAGATTATGAAGCATGGGGGCATGGGAAGTGTATGTATGAACTTAACAGCAATTAGCTTTCCCCCCAGTTACTATTTTGTTAATGCTGTTAACGTTGTTTTATGGATTATAAATGATTTGTTAACCATATAACAGGACTTGCTGTAATTGTGATGTTTGGCTTATTTTGTAGTTTCGCTTTAAAGATTGCAATTATTTTATTGCAATGATTTGTTTATTGTTTTATATTATTTACATTGTATTTGTGGCGTTCTTTTGTGTTTTCTTATGCTGCTGTCATTTATTGTTTGTAAGCCGATTTGAGAAAGCGGCATAGAAATATGATCCATCAAATCTCTCCGTTTGAACAGGTAAACCAGATTTTCCTGCTTTGCTTTCTGAACAAAGGCCTGGTTTTACAGAAAGGGTCCCCTCCTTCAGTTTGGGGGCTCCTGCTCTCTGCTACCCTTCTGCAAAGGCATAGGGCATTCAGCATCAATCCTAAACGCAATAGGAGGATCCAGCTGAACTAGCTGCAGCGCCGTCACCCTTGAACTTGCCCTCACCTACCCCAAAGGCAACTTTACCTTCAGTGTTGGGTAGCCGGTGATCCCGAAATCCGAGCAGATTTTCTGGTTGCTCGCCTCAGCACAGTCTAGGACCCCCAGAGTCACAGCAGGTCTCCAATCTGGAGGGGGAATAAGATACAGACAGCAGAATAAAAATGATTAAAGTCATACCTTGGGTTACATAACCTTTTTTCAGGTTATGGACTCACCGAAACCCGGAAGTACCAGAACGGGTTATTTCCGGGTTTCGGCAGTTGTGCATGCGCAGAAGCACCGAATCGCAACTCGCGCATGCATAGACGCACTGCTACGGGTTGCGAACGTGCATCCCGCATGAATCACGTTCGCAACCCGAGCGTCCAGTGTATTTTAGATAGATGATAGATAGATAGATAGATAGATAGATGATAGATAGATAGATGATAGATAGATAGATGATAGATAGATAGATGATAGATGATAGATAGATAGATAGATAGATAGATAGATAGATGATAGATAGATAGATAGATGATAGATGATAGATAGATAGATGATAGATGATAGAAGATAGATAGATAGATAGATAGATAGATAGATGATATAGATAGATGATAGATAGATAGATAGATAGATAGATAGATAGATAGATAGATAGATAGATGATAGAGATAGATAGATATAGATAGATGATAGATGATAGATAGATAGATGATAGATAGATAGATAGATAGATAGATAGATAGATAGATGATAGATAGATAGATAGATGATAGATAGATAGATGATAGATAGATGATAGATAGATAGATAGATATAGATAGATAGATATAGACAGATGGCGTTATTTCCTTTCCACTCTGTTAAGACAATGTTTTTTAGCCAGTGTGCTGTTGCACCCTGGGGTGCCTTGCATGATGGTCAGGGGTGCCATGGGCAACACTGGCCTCCGTCCCTCTTTTCCCCCCGCTGTGGACTCAAAAAGGTTGAAAACCTGTGTGTTAAGGAATACACTTGCTCATTCTTCCACAGTACAGAAAAATTACCGGAACAAAGTTGACTAGTATTATCTTCCGTGTGGTTTTTAGCTTATGACGGAGACGGGCTGAGCCTCCCTAATGTCCCAGAGAGGCAAAGAGTTGGATAGGAAGGAAGATCATGGGAGCAAAAGGTAGGAGGAGAAGCAGGAACAGAAGTGAAGAGGAGGAGGAGGGGCCCTGCAGGCCAGCCGAGGTGAAGGTTGAAAGAGGAGTAAGGAGAAGGATGAAATCAAAGAGGAGGAGGAGACCATGACCTGGGAGATGACTGGAGAGCTTTTAATGGCCGGAAAGGCTGAAGTTCACATACAGACTATACAACTCTATATATTTATCTAGACATTGAAATTGTCACTCTCCATGAACAGACGTGTGTGTGTGTGTGTGTGTGTGTGTGTGTGGCAATTTAATACCGTGGTGCCTCGCAAGACGAAATTAATTCGTTCCACGAGTTTTGTCGTCTTGCGATTTTTTTCGTCTTGCGAAGCACGGTGTCGGGAAAGTTTTGGAAAAGCTTCAAAAATCACCAAAGTCTTTAAAAACCTCAAAAAAGGCTACCACACCGCGTTCTATGAGTTGCTCCTCGAAGTCAAGTCGCAACTGTATTAACGGTGTTAAGAAAAAGGAAACAAACTTGCAAGACATTTCCGTCTTGCGAAGCAAGCCCATATGGAAAATCGTCTTGGGAAGCAGCTCAAAAAACAAAAAACCCTTTCGTCTAGCGAGTTTTCCGTCTTGCGAGGCATTCGTCTTGCGAGGTACCACTGTAAGGGGTTGTGTAAGATGGGATCAACTTATTTATAAAGTTGGCCAAGAACCCCATTCTAATGCATAGAAAAGGTTCAAACCATCAAAGACCACATTTTAGGAAGTACCAACAACCCAGAAAATCCCTGATGAAGGGCAATGGAAATACACTTTTTGAAAAGAACAAAAGTCTGTGGGGATTGGAAGTTTGTTGGCTTCTGCCAACAAATGGGTCCCTCCCATTTTCTTATTTATTTATTTCTTATTTATTTCTTATCATAGCAGCATATGTAATTATAACACAAAATGAGTAAGATTCTTAATCATAACTGAACAACAAAACCATGATCTCTAAATAACCACTTAACAATAAGGTTACTAACCAAACGCTTACCCAGAAGATATGCTTTAATCTTCCTACCGGCGATGATCCCATGTTAAAATAATTCTAAAGCAGCATTCTCAGAAGGTCCTTGATCTACCTCGTAAGAAATGATATATATTCCATAACGCTCCTTCACAAATATTAGCACATCATAAATCCATAAATCTTATTCGGCTCAAAACCGTATCTCTTACTATAATCAATACACTTCTGCTGTTTTGCCAAGAAATTGTCTTCTTTCTCGATCTGTTGGAAAATATGTTAATTTGGACATTACTGCGGGGATTATTTGACCTGGATTTTCATGAGGTTTCACTGTCCCCATATCTTACACTTGCAAGAGGCTTAAGAAGAGAAGCAAGAAATACAGTGGTGCTCCATATGTGCTTAGCACTTTAAAGTATCAGGATTTGGGCCTGACAGAGGAAGAATATTGGTCCAGACAGACAGTTGGCTTGACCCAGATAAGGCTCATTTCATGTGTTACTAAAATGTTAGACTAAAGCCAGGGAAACCTGGGTTCAAGTTGCAGCTTGGACCATGAAGTCCAGTGGGCAACCTCAGACCAGTCATAATCTGCCTGCCATGCAGGGATGTTGTAATAAGAAGATCATAGCAGCCACATGTGCCATATTGCATCTACCAGGAATACCCTGGTCCAGAAGAGCTGACTCTGAGCTGGTTCCTCAGGCACAGACTGAACTGCTTTCCCCCCCGACCCCACAAGTTTGTTCAACATTTTGCTTGCCTCTGGGCCTCCAGTCTTGACCCTGCCATCTTTAGTCTCATTCCATTACAGTGGTACCTCGGGTTAAGTACTTAATTCGTTCTGGAGGTCCGTCCTTAACCTGAAACTGTTCTTAACCTGAAGCACCACTTTAGCTAATGGGGCCTCCCGCTGCCGCCGCGCAGCCAAAGCACAATTTCTGTGCTCATCCTGAAGCAAAGTTCTTAACCCGAGATACTATTCCTGGGTTAGCGGAGTCTGTAACCTGAATCATCTGCAACCTGAAGCGTCTGTAACCTGAGGTACCACTGTATTCCCTCGACATCAGTCAAAACAATGTGTTGAGCAAATACAAGGAACGCAAATTCAGGCTCAGGACATGTTACTACAGGGAACAGCAGAAGGTGTTAACCAAGAGAGCTATTTCAAGATGGCACGTTGCGAACCCTCTGCATCAGGAGACACTCTCAGTCGCCACCCTAGCAGGGAGTCACAACAGCAGCCCAAATCCCAGCTGCTCCACCCTAGGCTTTTGGTCCCAACTGTCTTGGAGATTAAGGAAGCCCTTGTTAAGATTCCCATTCCTTGCCACGCCTTGCTCTTGTTTCATGGGAGTGGCAAAGATGATCGCCCATCCACATGCTTGATCCGTGGCCAAACTACATAGCCCAGACTACCTTGAAGACAGAGGCTGCACGTGGACCTACAAGGCCGGAGGTCAAATCCCAGCTCAGGCACAGATTTACTGGCATTGCTTTGCTGAACTCATCGGAACTTGGCCTCAGTTACCACACCCATCGCCTCTCAAGCCTTTCTAAGCCTGGGGTTGGGTCAGGCAAAGAATCATAGACACCGAGAGACAATGGGACTGCTCAAGGAGCCCCGACCATAGCTGTCAACTTACAGATTTGAAAATAAGGGACCAGCAGTCTCGAAAATAAGGGATCAGCAGCCAAAATAAGGGATTTTAGTCAACCAGCAGCCAAACGTAGCCTCAAGCGGTGGTTCCCACAGCGCAGCAACCCGGCAAAGGGGATGCAGCAAGGAAAACCACCGTCACCTCTCCGCTGGGAAGCGCTGAGCAAAGGCGAGTCCCCAGGCAACGCGGCCGATTTGATTGGCACAAGGCATGCAAGCTCCACCCCCCAGTCATTCTTAGACTCCTTATTGGGCGAGCAACGCAGCCAAGCAACACAGTTGGAGCCTCCCTCCACCCTGGCCAGCAGGGAGGGAGGGAGAGAAGCTGCTTCCTTTGAAACCCGGGAAATTTAAGGGACATCATCAATAAGGGACAGCAGCGGGACACAGCACTGGGATACGGGACTTTCCCACCAAATAAGGGACGGTTGACAGCTATGGCCCCGACTATAAAATTGGAGAAGTTGAGATACAGTGGTGCCTCGCAAGACGAAATTAATTTGTTCTGCGAGTTTTTTCGTCTTGCGATTTTTTCGTCTTGCGAAGCACGGTGTCGGAAAAGTTTTGGAAAAGCTTCAAAAATCACCAAAGTCTTCAAAAACCTCAAAAAAGGCTACCACACCATGTGCTATGAGTTGCTCCTCGAAGTCAAGTCGCAACTGTATTAACAGTTTTAAGAAAAAAGGAAACAAACTTGCAAGACGTTTTCGTCTTGCGAAGCAAGCCCATAGGGAAATTCGTCTTGCGAAGCAACTCAAAAAACCAAAAACCCTTTCGTCTTGAGAGTTTTTCGTCTTGTGAGGCATTCATCTTGCGAGGTACCACTGTATATATAGCCGCACCGGCAGCATATCTCTTCTTTCTCGTATCTAAAAATGCAAGAAGGGCCTTTACACTCACCAGAAGCTCAGCCCTGCTCTCGCCGGTCCTGGAAGGAGCCTTTAAAAAAGTCCCATGCGCTCAGAGACTTTGCGCCTGTTCACTGGGGGAGATAGGAAGCCCAGAGCACTTGTTCTTTAGATGTCCCTTTTATGAAGCGGCCCGTAGTAAGACCATTGATCCCTGCTGGTGAGGCTCGCTGACCTCCCGGAAAAGCAAAAATTCGACCTTTTCCTGTTAGGCAAGGATCAGAAGATGACCCGGATGGTCACCAGATTCTGTGTACAGATCTGTAGGCGCAGACCACCCTCTGATCCAAACCAATTCATTAAGAAAATCCCCAAACTCGGTTCTATGGGTGACTCTGGGTCAGATCCTTGTAGCACCTCTGATGTGCGTATTTTACTTCTGCCAACTTTGACAGGAGCAGGGCCGGCTACTGTGCAG